TTCCGAAAATTAAAATCGACTGACGCTGAACTAAAGTGTACTTTTGTAGCCACAAGATTAAAATGGTGATCGTATCGTACATTGTTTTAGAATCGTGCAATTGGACGTGTGCACTCCCGTTTATTGAACATTTTATTCTTTGACTTTTAAGAGACAGGATCTATCAAGGGTGCGCAAATAAAAACTAATTCCCTTCTGTTAAATAAAAACCAATAAGTTTGAAACTTGCTTGATGGTATGCTGGTTGCTGTACCTTAAATTTTGGAGTCAGAATGCGTTGCAGGCATTTGTCTTACATGTAATGATACGAACGTGTGTAATTGTCTAGGTTATCTCAACACCCGTGGAAATTGCCAGAAATTATTTAGTACAATGGCAGTTTTTTTTTTTATCACAAAAGATTTTCTTTGAAAAATATACTGAAAGTAGCCCGAGATCCAATATTGTAATGGAATGTTCTGGAAATGGAACTTTAACCGGAACATTGTCTTCGTTTATTTATTGCTTGCAAAGTTGAATGAGTTTGCCGTTCACCTGTTGCGCTTTGATTCCAAAGATTTTTCTAATTCTTTAGCACTTTCTTTTGCACGAGGAACTCGATGTTTAAGTTGGTCTATTTAGTATAAAAAAAGTATGTGTATGGCCTTTTATATCAGTTCTGCCTAATTAAGTAATAATGCAGTTAATAAGTAGGTTTTTACCTAAAATTTGATTTGAATTTTATCGCGTTTTGTTTAAATAGGTTACAAGAAATGTTACTAATAATAAAAAGAAATATTTTTTTTATGTTTATTGCATCCCTTTTTATTAATTGTCTTGATTGTGTAAACTTTTTTTTATTTAGTTATATAATCGTTACAGATACTGTTATTTTAATTTTCTGTGTTCATTATTAGTTGATTAAAAAGAAATATTTGAAATGTAAAAAAATATGTGGACGATGTTTATATATTTGGGGTGAATTTTAATGATTTACTGTTTTCAGGTTTCTCATACTTGTTGTGTTACTATGTACCTTAATTTTTTTAAAGCATTTCACAGACGATTCAATGCGGCCGTGCCATCAAAGTCGGTTTGTTATAGATTCTAAATAGCTATCACAGCCAGCTTTGATGAGCACGGCCCATTTGATTTGCTTCAACGTCTCGTCGGTCAAACAGAAGATCAACAATCTCCACGCATCACCAAGTATCCCCAAGTCTATAGTTTCTCGGGCCTAGCCTGTCAAAGCGGCGGTGAGATGTCAACTAGTCTCATATCACAGCCACTTTGATGTGGTTGGTTTTCGAAGACAACTGCTACGTTCACATTTTCTTGCCTCTTCAATGCTACGAGGATCCGTGGCCCATTCGTAAAAATGGTTGTGCCATGTTAACTATTCATATCACAGCCATTTTTGACGAGTTGGGCTGTGGAATGTTTCATCTTTAATGAGCTAACGTCGGGGGAAAAGAAGACAGAAGTAGAAAAAGGGAACAAGTTTGGTTGCTGGAAAAGACATGGTCACACTGTCGCTCACAAAGTGGTTGAGATGTGCTTGTTATGTATCATATCACAGCCAGCTTTGATGAGCGACAGGTGATCGGAAACACGTTGGAGATAGCTTCATCGCATCGAACAGAAGACACGTTGGTGACAACTTTTTTACTGGCTCAATGAAGAGACATAGCTATTAGGGGGGCGGCAAAGTGGCCGTGAAATGCTGCCCTAAGACATATCACAGCCAGCTTTGTTGACTCTCTAGAGCTAACCTCATCCTAGAACTAATATCACCGTGTTTATATATCTTTTGTAATATCTTAATACTATTTGTATTACATTTTGCATGAAATCATGGGAGCTACTTATGTTCATCTATTATGTTAAGATGTTTTTCTGCGAATTTATTTATTTGCTGACATCAATACCTTAAGTATTTTAGCTAATTATCAATGCCTTAAAGTTTAATGTAAATTGATAACTTCTTTTGGTGTCAATCCGGAAAACTTTTAACCACTGATTTTATTTTCTAGGCAAAGAAGAGATGCGCCGGGATCAACTTGAATTGAAGCAATCGTCGCGTTACAAGAACTTAGTGCAACAATAATCAAATAAAGATTAATAGCAAATAAGACTTTTTATTGATATATCATCATCCTATCCTAAGTTAGGGGTGACTAGGCCATAGTCAACTACGAAGGCCCCAGTGCATGTTGGTTGACTTCACACATATCTTTGAATTTCCTCGCCGACATGTGCAGGTTACATCACGATGTTTTCTTTCACTGTAGGAAATTATGAAATTCGAAATTCACATGGTTACATTGATTCCAACTCAGGATTTGTAGATTACAAGTCAAGTGCTTAAACCCCGGAACCACCGACGTGCAATATTGTAAAATAAAAATAATTATTATTAGAAATTGGGATTTTTTTTCAATGATGGATAGTAAAAGGTGATGAATAGTAAAGGACGACCACCTCTTAGTACTGAAATTATTAGTTAAAAAAGTTATAAAGCAATAGTCATGTCATTTTTCCGTCATAAAAATGTAAAGCACATTCGTGCATGGCAAAGGCCGAACCAGTCCAGTACCTAATAGGAAGTCCAGCACGGCGTCATCGACAATTTCAAATCATAAAAATGGCGACATTCGCCCGTAGAGTTGCCGCTCTCCCATTGGTCTAATTATGAAGCTTTCAAGATGGAGCTACAGGGACATTGTGGCAACTTTTTGACATTGACAGGAGGGCGCCTCCGATTTAGGGTTACCAGCAAGGCAGTATTTGCATATCAAAGGGAAATTCTTTCCTTTTTGAAAACTAAAACACAAATTGTAAATGAAGTACTTAAACTCTACAATATAACTAGGAAAAGCTCTTGATTTCTTTTGTCGGAGAGAAGATACTATAGCAAGAGAACTTTTGAGCAAACTTTTAGTAGTATTACCCCTTTAAATAGTAAGGAATAGCCTTAATATAATAGAAATTGTCTTACTTAACATTTATCTAGAGAAGAATAGAAATCTTAATGATTGTTGTTAAGAATCAACGCACAGTACTAATTATGCGGTATGTCCCGTGATTCGAACTGTGCGTTATAAAATCATCAGACACCCAGTTTCGTGTCATATTTCTGAGTACATATAATAATTTGTTAATTACGTAAGTAAATGTGTACGTTAAAAACTAAAATCCTCGTTGATTTTATATCATGATAGAGATACTTCCAGTTGCACAAACTAAACATATTATACATGCATCCTCTGGGAGTTAGGGAAATTCTTGAATAAAAAATGGTAACACATTCTCATTGCAACAGATCACATCTACTTCTTCACGATAAAAATATCTCCTACGTTCCAAAAACCTCTCTTATACTGCTTTAAACCAATTAAAAATAACCTCTTTCATCGTATTTTTTCGTGGAATAGCATTAAAATACAAATAGCTTAAAGTAATGACAGTCAACTGACAGTTATTTTCACACATTTACCGGGTGCTAAAAGACCTTTTTAGCCTTATAAATCCTGGCACTGACATTGTTAGTTCACAAAATTGCCAGGTGCTAGATGATTCTTATAGACCTATATGTGCCAAAGAGTCTATGAAATTATTAGTACGTGGACGACGAATTTTCATTATCTGAGATCTAAGATGAGGCGTAGTTCATTCATGTAAATATGTTCTGTGGCAGTGGTCACAGAGTACTTTGTAACATACTGAAATAGAGACCAATCTTCGGCCTAAAATTGGGTAACACGAAGAAAAGCGCCATCTGTATTTCATA